CCTCTTTTGAGAATAAATCCCAAGCCTTAGGACAAATGAGAAAAGTATAGTAGCTGAAGTGCCAGATACAATGGGGAAACTAAGGGCCAAACTGCTCCTAGAGCAATTTTTACCCACATCCTTCCGGAGGCAGGTGCAGCCTCTATTACTGATGCTCTCTGTGTTTGGCGACTCTATTCAACCTGCTTTTTTGGCTTTATTTCTTACAGGCTGTTAACACACAGCCTTCTATCTAGAAAGTCAATTAGTGCCCATCCACCTGCTATTAAGCTTTCAAAATACTATTTCCTTTTTTGTTCTTATCATGTATATGTTTCCATTTTCTTACTGACATTTTAGCAGGGCTTTAAGAGAAATTGGAGGTATAATCATTTTAAAATCTGCTATGTTGAGCTATAAGTCCCCTGGTTTTTTTTTAGGCATACTAAATAATTGTGGGACCAATTACACTTTTTGCATCCTGTATGACAATCAGCTTAGTTTTCATTAAACACCATGACAAGAGTATAGACATTTTTGTATGCCCTGTGAAGGAAGAAACAATGGAGGAAAGATGGTAATTACCAAGTGGCAATCTAAAATAGTAGTGTAAAAATAACCTACTTTGTGAGGTTCAGAGAAGGTGCTCAATAGGACATTTATGTGAATTACATGATGACTAAAATGTACCTGAAGAATCATGGAAGCCCGGCTGTAATTCCAGTATCTCTAGGCATAGGCCCACAAATATTGAGCTGGTGGTAAATATGATGATGAATTCACGTATTCAAGTTTTTTTAATCATCAAAATTGAAGCTAAGAAATCAAGCTCACTTCCAACTCTGAATGTCCTAAGTGTATAGTTGAAAATTACCACATCCTAATCAATTTCAATGAAGGCAAAATATTGAATTCCCTAGAAATAAAACTTTAACATTTTATGCATATATTATCCTATGAGTAGCTGGTCAGATAAATTATGCATAGAAAATGTGGGTTTTATCACCTCCTATTTATATTAATGGTAATTGTCTTCCTCCTTTCCTCCCAAACCACGCTTTTTCATTAATTGTTTCTTCCTTGATAACTATACTCAAGAATGAAAGTTTGGGCAAATATTATTTTGACAATACAGGTGAATGAGGTAGAAACATTACCTAGTTAGAACTGGCATGGTAGGATGGTTCCTTTTTCTTAGCAAGCATTTGCTACCCCTTTTTGGGTGCTAGCAATCTGACCCATCTGAGAATCTGGAGGAAGTATTGAAGCTAGTGCTGGGTTCCTAGGGGTCTTTGGGCATACACAGTTCTCTCGGTCCCACACAGCATGTTGGCAGACCCCAAACGGAGATGTTGGCTGCTCTCAGAAACCTTCTCCCAGCCCTGAGCCAGTGTTCCCGACTGTGTTGGGCTTTGTTGATACGAGGAAGCAGCAGCTGCTTCTAGTACCATGGTGACACAAGCTTGGTTGCATTAGCAAGGCCTTCTTTTTCTCTGAAATGCTACTAATTAGCTGTTAGCACATGACATTTTCACACACACCTCAGTACAAAGAACAACCAGTTCAACTCATACATAAAAGGTTGACAGAAAAGTGAGAAAGAGCAAATAGTTATGATACATTTTGTTCCTTCAAAGTAAAAAAAGAGTTATTCAATAAATCGTGTATAGTAGTACTTTGTGGTACCATATTTATGACTCTAAATATAGGCCCTCATCTGGAATGCTTGCAGGCTGAGAAAATAGAAGGGGAGGAAAAATATTTCTTCTTAATCTCCTCTACACAGACATAAAAGGAATTGAAAAGATACTTTTTAAAACCTCAACTAGCTCTATGACCTTGGACACAATCTTTCTTCTCTTGAGACTTCAATTTTTCTCATTTTCAAACCAAGGGATTGGATTATTTATGTATTGAGCTAAGAGGTTGCGTTCTATGTTAAAAATCCAAGATTTCAAGATAGGTGATTTTCACAAAGCAAGAAAAGCCTGGGAAAAGGCACATCTCCATTATATAAGCATGTATAATTATATCCAGCTTGGATTTAGTGCCTTTATACAAACACAGGTGATAGAAATTTGTAATGAGTAAGGAATACACCAAAAGATTTAGTAGAAAGAAATAACATATATTTAGGTTTTTTTCTAAAAATAGAAATATTATTATTATTAGAAAAGTTGTGATCTTTGGGAAATTGTCATCTGGTACCAAAGAAAATGTTAGTTTACACCTATTTTTTCATTTCTTTATCCAGGTAAAAGCAAAACCTTGTAACTGTCACTGTGATTGTTACCTAAAGATTTCAACCCCCACAACAAAGACATGATGGTTGTCCAGAGTACTCATTGCACTTTTCAGCACACAAATACCTTACCACAAATTATCTCAAGCAAAATCTGGTCTTTTACAGTGGGAAAGATGGAACTTGAAAGAAGTTCTTTTGCAGAAATTTTGACAACTTGATTTTTCTCATAAGATGCAGGTAAAAACTTGGTATTTGATAACTTATGAGTTTACAGCAAAAATGAGTATTCCGCTTCACTATAGTCCAACTTTCCATGGCACAACCAGTTTTCCTAATTGGGAGTTAACTTAATGAGTAGATTAAACACGGTGCTGAGGAGAGAAAACTGGCCCCAGAACCCCCAGGAAAGTGCAAATCCCTGCTCTGTGAGTACTAACTAGCTGGGGCAGTTTGGGACAAATCCCTTTCCTATGCAGACCTTGGTTGCTCTACCTGTGTGTAATAGTCAGGCTACTGCATTCTTGGCAAGAATCTCCTCAGTAGTTTACTTTGTGGAATAATGCCAGACTGGAAAGAGTTTAAATAAGGAGTGGCATTACTACAAAGTTATTTTAATAAGCTCATTACCATAAACAAAAATTAATTTAATTAATTCCATGGTTAAGAAATGAAGACAATATACCACCATATATCACCTTTCACATGGTTTAAACCTGGACAGCCACACCTAAAATGCCAGGATTCATACATCCCGGCTTCCTGAACACCTTCATCCTCCTCCTCTTGCTCATGCTGATGGTACTTCCTGCCTCCCTAGAACCTTCCAGCTCTACTATGGACAGTGGCCTCAGGAGGTCCTTCAATGCTGATTGTGAAGCTACCAACACAGAAGCTACATTCCCTACTCTCCCAAGGAGAGGGGAACATGCTTGTTAGCATAAAATTTTTATCCTTTTTCCTTCCTCTCCCTCTCTTTTTAATGATTTTTTTCCCCCTAAATGTAGATGGTGTATCACTTTGGGTCTTGGTTGTGAGCTCTTTGTAATTCTCCAAACTCTGCTCCTCCCATGACTATATTTAACTTGGATTTGGTTAAGCTGTGAATAATAAAACCCTAAATAACAAAGGCCTAAACAAGACAGAAGTCTTATTTCTTGTTCATGGAAAGGAAGACTGGATGTAGGCTGCCTAGAAGGGCAGCTTCAAGACATCATTATCCATTCTGGCTCTATCTTATAGTGCTACCTACCATGTGTAGCACAGGACTTTACCAACTCCAAGATGGTTGTTTGAGCTTCATTTATTATCTCAGCAATGTTCTCAATAGGAAGAAGACAGGGTCAAAAAAGTGACACCTTACTTTAAAGACCATTTCTGGAAGTTACACTTCTGTTATATCTCTTTGGCCAGAACTTAGTCACATGGCTGTCAGAGAGGCTGGGAAAGTATAGTCTTCATTTCAGGTAGCCATAGCCATAGCTTATTGGGAGTGTTGTGGTCAAAGATCACTAGAATCTGTCCTAGATCAAAAATCCTAAAGAAATCTTTCACAATATATCTGAGCTGTTTTTCTGAAAAGACTTTAAGATTAAATTAGGAAGTACTATCATAGGAAGAAGACTCCAAAAAAAAAAAAAAAAAGCTGAGATAGGCAACAGACAGCTTCCACATATGTTAGAGTACTTCAGTAATGTCTTAACTCGTACTGGCAGAACCATGTTAACCTGTCAGGTGGGAACAAGTCAGGTAGTACATATGGATTTTCGTGGTTAAATTTTATCCACAATCAAACAGATAAGAAAGATATAATTTGGCAGGCTAATGAGGCAGGCTGTTTCAGGAGTGAACAGAGTTGTTCTTTTGCAAAAACACAAAGTAGAAAAAGGGGAGAGGTTGTTTGTTTGCCAGGCATGGTGGCACACATTCATAGTCCCAGCACTGGAAGCTAAGGCAGGAGGATTGCAAGTTTGAGGCCAGCCTGGGCTACATAGTGACACCATGTCTCCAAAACCAGTTTTTGTTTTTCAGCACCCTACACTTCTCAGGCAATACATATTTTCCCTCACTTTTGGAACCATTTCCCTCCCACCAGTAGGATTATACACATATGTGTATATACATGCACACACATACACCTGCACAGAGGTATACACTGATATTTTCATGAAACATAATGCAAAAAAACACAATCATCTGCTACACTAATTAACTTATCTACTTAAGTCTATTTGCTCCCCATCCCAGGAGTTTTGCACAAATTAAATTAGAATTAAATTTCCCAAGAGTGTCTCTTCAGTTCTAGCCTGTAAATGCCTTATAGATGAGTTCTTGCAGAATCATAAGAGTATGACAAAGAATGAAACCTATTTCTGCCCTCAAAGAGATTCTAATCTGATAGACAGTGGTACACACATCTTCCAAGAAAAATACATAAGATGATTTTATACAAACTATTATAGAAGCACTGGGAAAGCAGTCAAATCCCAGCTTGAGAGAAGAATGAGGAGAAATGGGTAGAACTGACTCTGGATAGAAAAGGGCAAGTGAGGTGGAGGACCAGGCTGAGAAGGGCTCAAAGGTGATGGCAAGGAGCTTGTGGGATGGAGCCAAAGGTATCAGAGGGCACAAGGAGATTCTCCACTTAAGGTGTAGTTTGAGACCTCGCCATGGGGAGTGCTGAAACTTTAGTAATAAAGGAAGTAGGCAAGAAAAGAAAGTGAGGTGAGAAAATATCCTGAACAGAGCTAGTCATAAAAAATGTTATGTGCACTTTGTGGAGAGACGAACACTGAATGGTTGTGTCCATGTTATCGACCTCGAGCAACAGCTTCTCTTCATAGAACCCGGGAGTTGGAGATTCAGGATCGAATCTCTGCTCCCTCCCCGCTCCTGTGAGATTTTTTTGATCTTCAGCTACACTTTTCAGCTTTGTGAGAAACCTATCATCAAACACGATGGCTAGCAATGTCACCAACAAGACAGACCCTCGCTCCATGAACTCCCGTGTATTCATTGGGAATCTGAATACTCTTGTGGTCAAGAAGTCTGATGTGGAAGCAATCTTCTCAAACTATGGCAAAATTGTGGGTTGCTCTGTTCATAAGGGCTTTGCCTTTGTCCAGTATGTTAATGAGAGAAATGCCTGGGCTGCTGTAGCAGGAGAGGATGGCAGAATGATTGCTGGCCAGGTTTTAGATATTAATCTGGCTGCAGAGCCAAAAGTGAACTGAGGAAAAGCAGGTGTGAAACGATCTGCAGCGGAGATGTACGGGTCAGTACCAGAACACCCTTCTCCGTCCCCTCTACTCAGCTCCTCATTTGACTTGGATTATGACTCTCATGGGGTTATTATGACAGGATGTACAGTTACCCAGCACGTGTGCCACCACCACCACCTATTGCTCGGGCTGCAGTGCCCTCTAAACGCCAGCGTGTATCAGGAAACACCTCATGAAGTGGCAAAAGTGGCTTCAATTCTAAGAGTGGTCAGCGAGGATCATCATCCAAGTCTGGAAAGTTGAAAGGAGATGACCTTCAGGCCATTAAGAAGGAGCTGACCCAGATAAAGCAAAAAGTGGATTCTCTACTGGAAAGTCTGGAAAAAATAGAAAAGGAACAGAGCAAATAAGCAGTAGAGGTGAAGAATGAAAAGTCAGAAGAGGAACAGAGCAGCAGCTCCCAGAAGAAAGATGAGACTAATGTGAAGATGGAATCTGAGGGGGGTGCAGATGACTCTGCTGAGGAGGGGGACCAACTGGATGATGATGATAATGAAGATGGGGGAAGACCAGCTGGAGTTGATCAAGGATGATGAAAAGGAGGCTGAGGAAGGAGAGGATGACAGAGACAGCACCAATGGTGAGGATGACTCTTAAGCACATAGGGGTTTAGAAATCTTACACCATTATTTCTTTACCTAGGCGCTTGTCTAAGATCAATATTTCACCAGATCCTCTCCCTAGTATCTTCAGCGCATGCTTACTGTCTCCCTATCCTTCCCATGTCATTCTTTCATATTGCTCTGCGCCTAGTTCCATTTTCACTTCCTTTGATGCTCCTAGTACTTTTGTTAAGTCTCTCCCTGTAATTTTTGCTTTTAATTTTGATACCTCTTTATGACTTAACAATAAAAAGGATGTATGGTTTTTATCAACTGTCTCCAAAATAATCTCTTGTTATGCAGGGAGTACAGTTCTTTCCATTTATACATGATTTCAGTAGTTGCTTCCCTAACTGCAAAGGCAATCTCATTTAGTTGTAGCACCTGAGAGCCGCTTTGAGTTGGAGGTATGTGTGTTTTACCCCACATAAGTACTGTGTGGGGCTGTTCAACACAAATGTAACAATGTATTTTTGTGAATGAGAGTTGGCATGTCAAATGCATCCTTTAGAAAAATAATTAGTGTTACAGTCTTAATATTTGTTTTCTAAAATGATACTGTGGGTTATTTTTGTGAACAGCTTGATGTTTGGGACCTTTTTTCTCAAAATAAACAAGCCCTTATTAAACCAGGAATTTGGAGAAAAAAAAAAGTGTTGTGTACAGCAGCACATAGATTAAAGGTTGAAGAGACAGGACCTAGGCATGGACACTATCCTAAATCCAGACAAGAGGTAGCAGAGACTAGAAGAGAAGCAGTGGGGATTGAGAAGAGAGAGTGCATCACTAATAGTGAAATGTCAAATGAAAATGAGGTGGAACTCTTAGGCATATACCTGAAGAAATATCATAATACACTAGAGATACCTGCACACAGATGATTATAGCAATGCTATTCACAATAGGTAATTTTGGAATCAGCCTAGGTGCTCTTCAACAGGTGGATAAAGAAAATGTAGTATTTATATACAATGGAGTATTATTCAGCCATGAAGAATGGTATTATGTTATTTGCAGGAAAATAAGTCAGACTGAGAAAGACAAATACTCCATGGGCAGATTCTAGATCTAAAAGAAAAGGACATGAACATAAATGGATAATTTGGCAATGGAGGGACCAGTGGGAGATGGGGGTGGGAAAAGAGGGTGAAGTGGGGGAGAATATGATCAACGTATGTTGTATGGGCAAATGAAACCCACTTAAAATTTATAAGAGTTAAAAAAAAAAGGGGAGGTGAGGAGGGATATGAAGAAGAGTAATAGAGCAAATATGATCAAAGTACTTTATATGCATGTGTGCAAATGTCACAACGAGACCCCTTACTTTGTACAATTAATACACACTAATAAAAATAATGTTTAGAAAAGAAAATGAGGTGGGAGGCACACAAGAGGGAGCCTTTATTTAATACTATGTTAGCTATCACATATCTTGATGTTCATGAACCAAGTTCAGAGATGCAGAAAGAGACCAAGGCAGAGGATTCTTAACAGGCCAAATGTAAGACTAGAAAACAGAACCGTAGGCTTCAGGGGTGAAGGGAGCCGCCCACATCATCCATAAAAATCTTGTATTTTCTATAGATGAAGATACAGGCCTTGGAGGTATATGGTAACAGAAGAGATATGTGCCTTAGCAGAGGAGTCAATGTTAACTATGCAAAGACACCTTACAGGAAGTCATAAGTCAAGTAAGGAACCTGGGAAAGCACTTGCAGCATGTATCACAGATAAATGGCTGGGCTCACTGATAATGAAATACACACAGATGTCAGAAAACGGACAAGGATCATAGCAGATTGTGCCCACAGAACAAAATGCAAATGACCTTAAGCATATGAAATGATATTCATGTCAGCCTCATTGACAAAAATTACTCAAAATGATGTAGAAAAACGTTTGCTACTCCTCTTCTCACCCCATTACATGGCAGTGCTAGGGTTTGAACTCAGGGCCTTGTGCTTGCCAGGCAGATGCTCTACCACTTGAGCCACACCTCCAGTCCTTTTGGCTTTGGTTTTTTTTTAAATAGAGTCTTACATTTTTGCCTGGGGCAAACTTCAGACATCCATCTCCTACCTACAGCCTCCTGCATATCTGGATAACTAGGATCACAGGTAAATACTGCCAGGCTAAGCTTATTGATTGAGTTGGGGGTCTTGCTAATTTCTAACCTAGGCTGGCCTCAAACTGTAATCCTCCCAATTGCTTCCCGAGAAGTTGGGTTCAGGTGTGAGTTACCTTGCCTGGTTCTCTTTTTGAATTTTTAACTGTATAGGTATGTTGATAATATTTTAAATAGCCAGCCACATTAGAAAATTTAAAATTGCAACTGTGACAAATATATAAACAAGACATATGTGTTATCATCACAGCCCAGAAAGATTTTACTTAATCAGAGAAGTCTGGGAAGCCTTCCTGGAGGAAGTAGCTCTTAAGATGAGAGCTGAAGAATAAATAAGAGCTGTCAATAGGTTCAGAGAACAGAGAAGAGCTTAGAATCAGAGAGGGAAGTCCATGAAAAGGTCCTGCAATAGGAAGGAAAAGGCTCTTAGAAGAAAGTGGAGTAGCAAAGTGCATGAGACCAGGCTAGACCAATAAGAGCAGGCTAGACCATGTGGGGCTTGTAGGCCATACTGAGAAATGTTTTGCTAGTTGTTTGTTTGATTTTTTTTTCCAACCTAAAAGCATTGAGAAAATGTTGAAGGGTTTTAGACAAACAGACAGACATGAAAGGGATAGGGGAAATTTACTTTATTTAGGGGACTACTCAAAGTCACTAAAGACTATAGAAGAATAATGTGTGTGATCAATATACTTGTTCATATAAAGTACCATCAGTCCACCTGGGCATGGTAGTGCATATCTGTAATCCCAGCTTCTCAGGAGGCAGTGGCAGGAGGATATGAATTTGAGGCCATTTGGGACAGAGTTAGGGAGACCCTATCTCAAAAACAAAATACAAACAAAAGTGCTGGGGACTTGGCTCAATTGGTAGAGCACTTGCCAGCATGTGAAGTCCTGGGTACAATTCCCAGTACCACCAAAAACCAAAAAATAACAAGCACCAAAACAAAACTGTCAGCTCCCCCCAGTCTCCCAAATTCGCCTGTAAAGTCACATGTGGTCCTTGCTAACAGCATTCTGCATATTTCAATTATGATCCATCAGTTGCTATTTGCTGAAAACATTACACAAGTTGCACAAAGGATAAAGTCGTTATAGTCTAATTTACATTGGAACTTATCTTGGTTTCTAGGCAACATCACTGCACTGGATAATGATGGCTCTGACCCCCGGAATCTTTCACAATCTGGTAGGCAAAATGAACGAGGGAACCAATTTCTCTGTGTTCAGGCCACTATCACAGCCTATTACACTCAGCCTGGGAATAAAACCCATTTTTAATGCACCATTTGATAAGAACACTTAACCTCAGTATGTGTTGTAATTAGAGAGATAATTAGAACTTCACTAGAACCTCTTAAGACGAGCAATACATTTGAAATTCACCTAGAATGAAAATTGCATCATCTAAGACCAATCCAAGGTATTTTTGCTTCCAACTTTCCTTGCTCTCTCACCTTATCCCAAAGCTTTTGCAATCTAAGAAATGTAAAAAGGTAAGAATTTTTATAGGTAGCGCATATCACGGAAGCTAATAGGTTTGCTTTATAGTTATTTGAAAGGGAAAGAAAAAAGCCCTTAATTTTGAAAATCAGCTTCAGAGACCAAGTATAGAGAAGATGAAGTGAGTCATATGTGCAGAGAGGAAAAACTGCTCTTGCATGAATCCACTCATAAAATGTTAATCTATGCATAAGAAAATTGTGTTCCTTAATCTCTGAAGAAACACTTATCACTAAGAACCCTTTAATTCTTTCCTGTGCTTGATTTATTAGCTTATGAAATTATGTTAATAGCCTTCATGCTAATGGTTTGGGGGCTCCAATGACCTGATTTTAATAATGAAGTAATTTATGCAATAAATGCAATCAGCATCTATGAATCTCACTTAACAGAACATATTGGTGATTAGCCAATGCTAAAACAAGTAACTGTCAGCATGGGGCAATGCATTGCTTCTGCAGAGAAAAGAGTGTGGGGTGTGGGGGAGCGACTCAAGGAACATGATCTGCTCTTGGCCACAGAAGCTGTGCCAGAGAGGTTGAGACTGAATTAGAAATTAATATGCAAGCTGTTAAATGAGTCTGATACATCAGTAACCGGAGAGTAAGTCTGCATTGAGCTAAATGCTTGACAAGCAACATTTATACTGTGGTTGGAAGAGGCAGAGTGGGTTCCGGGGAAGAAATTGGGGAGTGCAGATAATCCAACATTTGAAAAGAACAGCAACACACTTCCTGGGAGCAAGCAGAGCCCAGTAGAGAAGGTCCTCAAGAAGGAGGTGAAGAAGGTAAAGATCGACAGCTCTGCACACATAGAATCTACACCCTGGGAAAAACGTGGGTTCAAGTACTATGCACTAGCATCGTGCTGGCTTTAGAGCGTGTCGTGTTGAGTTGCTCTTTTTCTTTCTTTCTCTTTTTTAAATTTAGAAGAAAATTGCTGTAGGGGATCTTTTTTCTTTTCCCATTCCCTATAGATTTAATACATTGAAACAACTATGTGAGCAAAGGCTCACTTCAATCATGGTGACTGGATCAGATTTTCTCCTTTCTTTTTTCAGAGGTCCCCAGCAAATAAATTTATATTTCTCACTCTTTTTTTTTTTTCCTAATGGTTAGGGTGGGGAGGGAGCAGTACTGAGGATTGAACCCAGGGCCTTGCACTTGCTAGGCAGGCACTCTAACACTCAAGCCACTCCACCAGCCCTTTTTGTATTGGTCATTTTTTGAGATAGACTTGTTTTATGCCCAGGCCTGCCTGTACCAGGACCCTCCTATTTCTGATCTCCCTTGTAGCTGGGGTGACAGGTGAGCATCACAACATCAGGCCATTGGTTGGACTTTTTGCCCAGGCTGACCTTGAACT